GACACCACCTGCTGGTATGCGATGTCCATCTCCATCTCTCGAGCCATACTGAATCTGATACTAGGGTGGAGCTCCTCAATAAATTGACAAACCCGCTCTCAAACAGTAGCAACCAAGGCTGGTGCATGCCTAGCCAAATCACTAAATCGGGCCGCATACTCTGACACGGTCATAGAACCTTGGCGCAACTGCTCAAACTCTGGGCGCCATGTATCTCTAAGGCTCTAAGGAACATATCTGAAAACTGAGTCCAAGTGAGTGAAGCTACCTCAACCGGACTATCCAACTAGTATGCCCGCCACCACTGGTAGGCTACTCCTCTAGGCTGAAATGCCGTGAAAGAAACCCCACTAGAATCCACAATACCCATAGTACGGAGAATACGGTGACATTCCTCAAGAAAACCCTGAGCATCTTCTGGAGCCAAACTGCTGAAAGTGGGAGGGTGGTACTTTTTGTACCTCTCGAGTCTGAGTTGCTCCCCCTCCGAAACTGCTGCCCTAACCTCGGGCCAAACTGGGACAACTGGCTGCACTGCTATAACCTCTGGGGCATGGTCAACCTGGGCTCGTGGCTATGGGGTACGGGCGACGGGAGTCTGTGCTCCTCGCTCGGCCTGAGATGTGGTAGGAGCAAGTGGAATTAACCCTGCCTGAGCTAGAGTGCCAAACATGCTCAAAAACTGAGCAAGAGTCTCCTGAAGTGCAGGAGTAGTAACAGGCATCTCAGGTGCCTACTCTGCAACTGGAGCTACTGGTGGCTCTACTGCAGTAGCTCATGCATGTGCTCTGACTGCACCACGTGGTCTTCCTCGGCCCCGGCCTCTTGCGGCTCCAACAGGGGGCGTGGGTGTCTGATCATCGGATCCAATTGTGCGTGTTCTCGCCATATGTGAGAGAATGGAAAGACAAGAGTTTAGAATTTCGAAGTCAAAAAATGCACACGATAAGGAATCAAAGAAGTGAACATTTTTCCTAACAGTTCCATAGCCTTCCGAAGATAAGTACAGACGTCTCCGTACCGATCCGTGAGAATCCACTAAACCTGCTTGTGACTCATAACACCTATGAACCTAGAGCTCTGATACCAACTTGTCACGACCCCAATTTACCCTCCGTAGGATGTCGTGATGGCACCTAGTCTCTAAGACTAGGTAAGCCTAACAAATTGCGGAATAACATAATAAGAGTCGGAAACTCAAACCTCAATAGTTCTAATAAATGAAAACTGCAAGTCAAAGAACTACATTCTCCCAAAACCCAGTAGAAATAAGTCACAAGCTTCTAAGAGATATACTAATGTCTCTATACATCAGAGTCTACTAAATAAAGGAAAACAACATGATAAGAATAAAGGGAGACTCCGAGGTCTGCGGACGCTGGCAGATGTACCTTGAAGTCTCCGCACACAGGTAGCTCATTGATGTATGGGCTGGTAAGAAGTACTTGGATCTGCAAAAAAAGATGTGCAGAAGCGTAGTATGAGTACACCACAACGGTACCAAGTAAGTGCCAAACCTAACCTCGGTAGAGTAGTGACGAGGTCAGGTCAGGCCCTACTAGAAATAATAGAAAATTAAGACAGAGGATATAATAATATAACGAAATGACTGAAAAGTGAACAACACAACAAATAGAGGTAAAAAAAATAGGGGCGCTCCCGAGGTACCGCCTCGTAGTCCAAAAGTAAATATGCAGTGCAGGGGGATCTCCCGAGGAACCGCCTCGTAGTCCCAAAAGTAAATATGCAGTGCAGGGGGATCTCCCGAGGAACCGCCTCGTAGTCCCAAAAGTAAATATGCAGTAGAGGGGGATCTCCCAAGGAATCGCCTCGTAGTCCCAAAAGTAAATATGCAACAGATATCGGAAGGAAACAACGAATTTACAGCAAGAATCTCATAGTTAAAGATTTAAATCAAATCAAATAAGCAGGCAATTAAGCTAAGCATGTTGCACATATTGCAAGTAAGAGTTAGGGCACGTGGACATGTGATACTAGACTAAATATGATCACTACATATACTAAAGCAATCAGTTAAAGAATTTAAAAGAAGACTACTTAGCAAGAATCGATATTTCCAAATTTAGCCCGTGTACGCACTCGTCACCTTGCGTACACAGCGCTCATATATCACAAAATATTATAACAGTACCAAATCCTAAGGGGATTTCCCCCACACAGGGTTAGACAAGCCACTTACGTCAAACCATGCTCAATCAGTCAATAAGAATGCATTTTCCTCGATTTTCCGACTCCGATCGGCTCGAATCTAGTCACAATTAATTCGATTCAGTCAATACAAATTATAGGAACAAATTTCATACGAAAATACAAATTTTCCAACAAAAATTCAAAATTTAACTCAAAAATCGTATGTGGGGCCACGTCTCGGAATCCGACGGAACTCATAAAATCCGATAACCCATTCAATTACGAGTCCAACCATACTAGTTTCACTCAAATCCGACTCTGAATCGATATTTAAATCCCAAAAAAATTATTTTATGAAATTTCTACAATTTTCCTCAAATTTTCATCTCAAAATACTAATTAAATGATGAAAACAATGATATATTCATGTATATTAACCAAATCCGAGTTATAATCACTTACCCCAATGAATTTCTTAAAAATCCCACAAAACATCGCCACCAACCGAGCTCCCAAAGTCCAAATATGAAATAATACTCTAACCCTCGTTTATAAGTACAAAAATCTGAACTCCCATTATGCTGACCACACATTTTTATTGTGGTCCACACATTTCCAAGTTCCGCGGCCGCGATCCAAATCTTGCGGCCGCACTTCAGTGTGACTGCACTATCAGGCTTTACTAAATTGACCATAATTTTCTGTACAAATGTTCAAATAATTAATGATTCCACTTTTTTGGAAACTAGACTCAAAGAGCTACAAGTTTCGTTTTTGAATCATCTCCAAATGCCTTGTAGATTAAAAGATATAAGCTTCCGAAGTCGGACCATCGAACCTGAAAATCTCCTTTATGCGGCCGCTAGAGAAATTTTGCGGACAGCACAGTTTCAACTGCGGTTCGCACAATTACCACTGCCTCCGCACTTTGGGAGTTTTCGGACGCACATCCGCACTCCAAAATGTGCCCTTCGCACTTCAACTGTCCCAAAACATCATCAGAGTGCCGAAATGCGCAGACTCGCTCAAAACTCACCCCGAAACACACCCGAACCACTCGGGACCCCGTCCGAATGTACCAACAAGTCCTAAAACGTCATACGAACTTAGTCGAAACCTCAAATCATATCAAACAATGCTAAAACCACGAATCATACCCCAAATTCAAGTTTAATGAACTTAAGAATTTTCAACTTCTACATTCGATGCCGAAACCTATCAAATCAAGTCTGATTGACCTCAAATTTTGCACACAATTCATAAATGACATAACGGACCTGTGAAAATTTTTAGAACTGGATTTTGACCCCGATATCAAAAAGTCAACTCCTCGGTCAAACTTCCAAACTTAAATTTCTATTTTAGCCATTTCAAGTCTAATTTAACTACGGACTTCCAAATAATTTTTCGGACACGCTCCTTAGTCCAAAATCACCATACAGAGCTATTGGAATCATCAAAATTCTATTCCGGAGTCGTTTACACATAAGTCAACACTCGCTCACCCTTCTCAACTTAAGTTTTCATCTTAGAGACTAAGTGTCTCAATTCATTTCAAAACCTCACCGGACCCGAACTGACTACCCCAGTAAGTCACATAGCAGTTATAAAGTACAAAATGAGCAGTAAATGGGGGAAGGGGGCTACAACTCTCAAAATGACTGGCCGGATCGTTATTTTATGTATTCCTCCTAGGTATTTCCAAAAGAAATCAAAATATGAAAGTGATCTGAGCCGACTCTAGGAAGATGTAGGACCTCTGTTAAAGAAAACTACTCACTCCAATTGTCATTGGCAACCAATCTATCCAGTCTTTTCCAAATAATCTCCTCCTTCTTCCTCTCATTGCACCATATGAATCTGCTCCCAGAGTATCCAATATCCACCAGGCCACAATCATGAATACACTCCATAAAAGGGATACTCTTGTTAAGTCTATGTGGTTTGCCCCCTATTTTCTCTTCTACTGCTAAAATGCTATTAAAATCACCACATACTGCCCCTGGAGCTGTGATAGTAGATGCAATACTTCTCATATATCCCCAAAGATATTCTCTACCAACAGACTTTGATTTAGCATGTACTATTGATACAAAATATTCTTTATCATCGGAATTGTTGATATATGTATGTATATATACATACATATAACATTGTGAAGATGGTGATGGATATGAGTGTTGGAAAAAGCATCAGCAAGAAGTTGAAAAATGTGAAAAATTATAAAAGTGATGAATATGACTATGAACAAACAACAACTGAAAGCTCTAACGAGGAGATCTACAAAGTCATTTGTGCAAAAATGACATATGATATCTCTTAGTAATTGGTTAATTAATATCTTAACTAAATGGAGATTTTTTAGGTTTGAATTGATTTGAACATTAGTCAGTTTCCTTAATTGTAGGGATTCTGCCATATTTTGAATACTAATTGTAGATATTTAATTTTATGAAATAATACAAATGTTGTACAAAACGTGATTTCAATTGTCGTTGTATATTATGAAATTTACTCTTATATAACATATGTATTTATGAAAATTTCCCATTATTTTTGGGCTATAAATTTGTAAAATTATGACTGGACCATCTAGTTGCAATGTATATATGTGGACTGTAGTCTGTACTTATGTGCAATTATCTCACAGAAAAAATATTTGTCCTGATAGATTGACTTTTAGAATTAAAAGTGCCAAGGAAAATTGTACTCCTACTAGTGAGTAGTGAAGATACTATTCCAATATATACATTTAACAAGAAAAAAGACTAGAATCTTTTCAAATGCCTATACTGGTTATATAATAACTAGAGTAAATTTCACCACTGTAACACGTATGGCAGGCAATAACATATATCAACCTTCAGCTTTAACAACATTTGAGGGAAGAGAAGAGAACATCATAAGACTTGTATAACAGAGGAGACAAGGTCCACCTTCATCAGTCAAATATATCTCTTGTCTGAATAATGTGTTGCAATTACACAATGGTGAAATGAAACATCAATCCACAAACTTAAAATCCATAATTGTACCATAGCTCTTCTCAGGGCATGCCAAGATTTGCATTCATTGCTCGAAGGGATCATGAAAGGATAGGAAGCTCAACTTTGTTCAACGAGAAAAAGCTCACACGCCCATGCTCAACCAGACAGAATTTCAAAGGAATACCATGAGAATGTCTCTCAAGATCTTCGATTTCTTCTTTGGAAGGTGGATACTCACTGCCCAAGAAAGCTACTTCGACAATTAATGTGGATCAACAACAAGGTCATACAAAACAGTGCAGGGAATGAGATATGTCAGGAGTTAGGAATAAAGAGGAACATAAAAAACCTAGTACTACTTTTGTCGGAATATCATCCAAGCTGGCAAATCTATCTTACTCTTAAACATTCAGCAATGCTCACCCATAGAGTTGCTGAACTACAAGTCCCTATAATCAGCTAAATAATAGGAGGCAAAAATTCAGATAATTTTAATAAGCACTAAGCACAATAATATAATGAACCACATTAACAAGGTACCGTACCTAGCAAGGCAAAGTACAAAATAGGGATCACCAGGAACAGACTTTCTGAATCTGCTATTAGGAGGGTAAACGTCAAAAGCCAGTCTCAGTCCACCAATTTGCATGTTACTAAACATTTCAGAGATGAGAACGTTGTTTCTTGATTCTTCATCACCAGTTTGAGCAGTCTCCAGCGAGTCTTGGTTAATAGCACAATTTACTTTTGACCTTCTCACTGACCAAGGAATACCATGACGCCCGACTATATAACCAAGATATTTCAAGTGCTTATATGCTTCAAAGTATTCCAAGGAACATCCACTTTTTCCTTCTGCAACCTTGCTGTATATGTGTTCCAGAGAAAGGGGTGCATCATCATTACCTAAGAGATGCAGAGCCCCAATTTCAGCAAGATATCTACATGAGAAAAACAGTATCATTCTTTAAACACAGGCAATTGCAGAAGAGAAAATCTCAAATTAAACATAAATTTTTCATATCAATTCCTCATACAAATAAATTTTTCAAGTGACATACTGACCATTAAATACCTGTTATCTGTCTATTTATAGACTTTATCCATTTGCTTCTACTCTCTTTCTCCACCCAGACTACTCTTTCTAACATGTTGAAGCAATAAACGAGTGTACAACTAAAATACACAAGCATAACTCAGAGAGGTAATTAAAATATCACTCGGGAGTATCCAAATTTTATACCAAAATCAGCTCCCATAGTCATTCATGAGGAAAAGATCAACAGAAAAAGTATCCCAAATTATTAACCAAATTATTCAATTTTCACTTTTGCAGCCCATAAAAACAAGAGATATAATATGTCTTTCGAGGTTTGTTAAGATATTAAAGAAAAATACGTTCTTTTGTCTTCTCAACCTAACAGGATCAAAAATTTGAACTCTGACCAAATATTCTGAAAACAAAGTCGTTGTCCTCTGTTCTTATTTTTCTCATAGCTTATTCCAAATTATGCCTCAACTCAAAGTAATAGTTTTAACTCTTCAACTAAAAGGAGATAACAAAAATAGAATTTTCATCACCTACAAAATCTCTTCAATGAAGCAGTATATCTTGCCATTACGAACTATACCAGTAGTTGTCCACAATCCACCCTTCCTCTCCACAACCTCAGCCATACCAAACTGGTCAAGCCACCGTGATCTTGAAATATCTTTCCTGAAGTAAAAAATGCACATTCACATTGCTTTTAGCAAGTTCATTTTTAATAAATAAAGATAAAATTCGGAACAAGACAACACGCTTCTATATCACGAGATGAAACCTGCACTGCAACTGGGGTATATCGGTTGATGCATATGCACAGCAAATGTCATCATCATCAAGATCCTCCCCATAACCTTCAGAATCACTAGTTCCTTCCACAAAACTTGCCCACTTATCAGTTTCCATAGATGGAATGTATTACAAATTCCTATAGCCTACCAGAAGAAAAAAAAATGCACGAATTACAGCCACCTTAGCAAGTGGAGACAATTATAATTGATTATTAAACAAAAAGTAGAGACAAATATTAGCTAAATACATTATGATGTAAATAACTCCAATAATCTCACCAATTAGCAAGTAAAAGTTATACTGAAAAATGTGACACAGTTGATGATTGTGCATATTCTCTAAGCAATTTAAAGTTATTTACGGTTGCGGAATTCGAATGTAACACAAATAAAATAAAAAATGCAACACAAAATAAATTTAACTAACCAGAAAAGGAACGATAGCATATAATAACTAAACTAACACAAATAATAAAAGGACAAGAATTTATAACTAAACTAACAATTTCAATATAAAAAATTAAATAATTGCAATATAAACTTCTCTCTCTCACACACACACACATTGAAGCCAACAAAAATCCAACTTGCTTCTGAGATGTTTTCGGATTTCACTTCAATGTTGCTGCTGCTACTCAATAACAATTTCAATTTTACAATATAAAAATAAAATAATAAAACCACAACGAACGATAAGGAAAAAGGAAATAATCAAAGAGAACTATAGCGTTTATTCATAGTTCTATGTTGGGAATTTGCAGCTACACGGCCTATGCACAGAGTTTATATAGTGGGAATGTTGGGAGCCGTTTCTTCATCCCTTTTTATTTCACATATACTTTTAAAAGAGGAAAAGAAGAGAAGTGACCTTATTGTGGCCTGTGCCGTTGATTCGAGAGAGGCTGAAGATGTTAGCAGAATAGCAGTAGAAGACGAGTAGCAGAGAGAGAGCGCAAAACAAGCATTTCCCCATAAGTGAAGTTGTATGCTGGCGGGTCACGTTAATGGGCCTCGGCCCAAATGAAGAAGAAGCCCATTATTTACTAATGTCTTTTGAAGAAGCCTATATACTACTACTACTACTTAGTCTTAAGGTAAATCCTATATTCATGAATATAAATTTTGAAAAAATCTCTCTCCATCTCTCTTATATCTACTACTTAATGTGTTTTGAGTTGTGACATATATATATATATATATATATATACCGTATTAAAAGCACGAAATCCTGTCGAAATGTTGTTCGTTTTTTTTTACCCTTTTAGAATAAAGTTCACACTATACATAACAGTCATTTGATTATTCTTCTAACTAATATTTAGGAGCTTGAAATTAATCAAATTTTATTTATTTAATCTTTTCGTATTTGAATTAAGTAAGAAGTCTTTATATTTAGGACTTTAAAACTATTACAACCTTATTTTATATAAATCTTAGACTTAAAGTATGATTAAATACAATTAAAATATTTATGCCTATGAATTATCTCGACTAATCCAAATCTCAATCCTAACGACACTATGAATAAACAGGAGGAAAGGGAAAAATTAAAATCGATCGACTTGGACTTTATGGCTGCTTTGCTCACATAGAGTTGAGAACAAAAATGTTCTCATAAGTGGTTTATTAGCATGTTGACATAACATTAACTGATTTATGATCCAAGTTTTAATTATTAATCTAAACTCTTTTTTGCTTAATACTTTCTGTTTACCCGAAAAATCGGATAACATTAAATTTAGATATGGTTCTAAGAGTATGCGAATCCCTTTGATACAAAATGACAATACATGTATTTTTGCTATAAAATGGGAATGATGGACGGGAAGACTGAAATGAATTAGAAAAACAAGCACAATGAAATCTTAATGTGTCTTGGAGAACTTGCCTCTATTGCAGTCTATCCCCCTTTTTATAGTAGAGGATAGCTGCTTTATCTATAATAACATAATAAAATAATACATATAGTGGAGGACCCATGATGGTTTGTCTCTTCCTTGATTCTCGCCAAGATTCTCTCCCTCGGTGCGGTTGTAACGGCTCTTGTCTGCGAGCTTGGCACTGGCTCGAGCTCGGTGTTAGGTCGAACCCCCAGTCTTGGTTCGAGCTTGGTTCTGCCTTGGGGCATCGATATTCGGGGCCCGTATCGATCGGTGTTGCCCCGTAGTTCGATTCGAACACGGGCTCGATAATGATATCGAGTTTTGTCGTTTATAGCGCGAAGCTTGATGTCCCTACTTCGGAATTCGTCCGAGCTTATCATGTGGATACCCTTCGATTGAAACGTCATTGTCTCGACCGGCCATTATGACTGAGAATCGGTTTTGACCGTACACAGATAGTCCCCTCGTTTCTCGGAAAGAATGTGGCGAGGAATATGATTTCCCTGCTGTTCGATCAAATTTATGCTGATGTTTCTATCGAACCCGATCTTGACGTATGTGATAGCTGTCCCATCGACTCGATTTTACCAAAGCATTTAATGTGTGTCAGATGGTGGTCAGCCACCGCTGATACCGAACCGTCATGCCTTAGTCTATAAATAGTCTTTTCATACAACCTTTACCATTTTTGCGCCTTCTCTTCTTCCAAACTTTCTTATCTATCCTCTCTATTTCGCTGCTACGGGGTCGTCCATACCAGAATTTTGGTGCTGCCTATTTCTTCACCTTCCTTTGCACTCTTTCCTTTCATATCAATGGCGAAAACTTCCAAAACCGTACCTCAGAAGGAGAAAGCTTCTTCCTCACGGCCGCCTGATGATAAGGCACCGGTGGAGCCGTCAGTTCATGCCTATGTTCCTGGCCCGTGCACTTTGAATACCGATTTTAAGGTAGAGAATCCTTCCTTCGTTCCGGGTCGATGTGAACACGTATCGATGTATACGTGCTCCATAACGGAGGATCACCTTGAGGTCGTCCGAAAAGACTGCAACTGGGGTTCCGAGGTCGTGCTGTAAATTCCATCTTCCGATGAGAGTGTTACCACTTACGTGGAGGGTTTTTTAAGTGTTTATACTTATACCTTCACACTAGGACCCGTCGACCTAGTGATTATTGATTTCTGCAAAAGGTATCAAGTCACCCTTGGCCAAATTCATCCCTCTCTATGGCGTATAGTGATCTTGTTGTGTTTTTTCTCTATCAAAGCCGGGGGGTTGGATTTTTCTCTAAACTACCTCATACGACTGTATCGGCCTCAGATCTTTTGAGGACTAATCAGACTCCATCGTCGGGCATCGAAGGCTTTGATGTCGAGCATCGATGAAGACAAGGATCGGGGTTGGATGGGTCGTTATATCCGAGTGAGGACCCGTGATCTCATTCCGGAGGAGAAGATGTCGTTCCCTGAAGAATGGAATTTTGACCGTAAGTGATTTTTGTTCACTTTTCATGTCCCTTTTCGATTTTTTCTGATGTCTTTCCCTGATGTTCAGCTGCCCCTTGGATGCCACAAGCGGTGCCTGACCTCGAGGACTGGGTTCGGAAGTTAGCCTCGACCTCCTCTTACGCCGAGCGCGCTTGGCGCGATTTGGCAAAAGGCAGATGGGAGGCCAAGAACCATGGTGAGGTTTGCTTTTTGTTTCCTTCGAAGTATTCTTTGTGTTATATTCGTTACCGATTTCCTTTTGTGCAGGCGTAACCAGGGATGCCGCTTTGAGGCCTTCGAGCGGTGAAGAAAGAAACAAGTCCCAAGTCCCTAAACAGGGGGAATATAAGAAGCGAAGAGCTTTCTCTCGGTCAGAGGACCCCAAGCCCAAAACTCGAAGGGTGAGGAGAAAAGTAATTGCCATTTCGATTGACTCGGTCCATCGACTGAGAGAAGAAGAAGAAGAAGAAGAAGAAGAAGAAGAAGAAGAAGAAGAAGAAGAAGAAAATAGCTCATCGGCTTTGGTAGTCTGATCTACGGAGGCCATCGAGGTTGCCAGAGCTCCCGAGCCGATGGCGGATGTGGCTGCCGGGGTTGTTTCCGAAGACCTGAGTCTCGACCGGAGTACTCCGTGTGATTTGCTCGGGGCTATGACAATAGGTCATTCTCCTTCTCTTCCATCTTTTTCTGAGGAGGCGTTGAAGGAAGCTCGAGAGTTGAAGGCTCCCGATATCGTCGAAGGCTCTCGTGCAGGGGATCCTTTTAGGGATTGTTTTACTGGAGTCGACGATGGTTTCGATATTGGTGATGCTTCTCTTTTATTAGAGGAGGCTCAAAATTTCATTACTCGGGTAATGATTCTTCCATACTTGGTTTCTTTGTTCTTTTCCATACTTGACTCGTATTTCTTACTGTGCAGGCCATTAGTAGGTTTCGAGCCGATCTTAGCCAGTGTGAGGCCAAGTTCCGAAAGGTCTCAGGTGAGAGAGATGCCATGCGGCTTCTTTGCAGCCAAAAGGACGAAGCTATAAAGGACCTCCAAGCGGATTTGGCTAAGGCCCGTGAAGAAGGGGTCGAGCTCGATAAGCAGGTGAGCCTCGTTCTATTAAAGTATGGGTCTGACTCAACTGTGGAAGTTAACCCTTTGTTGTCTCAGTTGCAGCAAAATATCGAAAAGATCGGGTTACTTCGAGAAGAAGTCAATCAAATCCGAGCTGAATGCAATCGGTGGAAGGAGACCCTCGACCGCCTGGCAGCGGAAAAAGAAACCATCTTTAACAATATTATTATCGGCCGACGTTCAACTTCGAAGTGCCAAGCAAAAGGGGTCGGTTCAAGCTAAGAAGATCGGGGAGCTTGAAACACGACTTGCTGAGGCTAAGGCGGAGGTTGAGTTGTCGAAAGTCTTGGAGGATAAGTCCATTGTTGTATATCAGGCTGATGCTGAGGCTGCTCATATGGAGGCCCGGGAAGCGGCGAAGACCGCCGATACTCGAGCTCATTAGGTTGCCGAACTTGCCAAGTGTAGGTCTCGGAGGGAGACCCTCGAGGAGATACACGCTCTAGGTTTCGACCTTATCGAAGATGTAAAAAAGGCAAAAGAGCTCGAAGCGGAAGCCGAAGCCGAAGCCTTGGCCTCTGATGATGATGATGATGATGGTAGCAAAAGCGGATCTGAGGATGGGGAAGAGCTCGACCAGGAAGCTTAATTTCTAATTCTCCATGTTTGCAATTTAATCACGTAGGCAATTTTTGTATATATATATATATAACGAGGTCGACTTGTTTTTGTTTTGTGAAGACTTTTGATCGAATGTTGACCTTGTAATCTCTCTGATCGATCAGATTTGTAGCCCCGGGTTTGCTTGTTGAGTCAATGATTTGGACTTTGAAGGAACATAATCCGTAGGTATAATGTACTGGTTAAGTTAATGTAAACTCAGAGTAAGAGTAGCTTATTAGACGTTGAGTGAATGTTTTGAACTTAAAATATTGTATCCCGTAGGCGTAATGGTCGGGTGGGTGCTTGTTCGAACTCGGAATAACAGTAGCCCATAGGCTTAATAGTCGAGTGAATATTTCGAACTCGAGATAGTGTGGCTCGTAGGCGCAATGGTCGAGTGAGTGTTTACTCGAACTCGAAATAAAGATAGCCCGTAGGCTTAGTCGAGTGAATGGTTCGAACTCGAAGTAATATGGCCCATAGGCGCAATGATCGAGTGAGTGTTTGCTCGAACTCGAAATAAAGATAGCCTGTAGGCTTAGTCGAGTGAATGATTCGAACTCGAAGTAATGTGGCCCATAGGCACAATGGTCGAGTGAGTGTTTCGAACTCGAGATAATGATAACCCGTAGGCTTAGTCGAGTGAATGGTTCGAACTCGAAGTAATGTGGCCCGTAGGTGCAATGGTCAAGTGAGTGTTTGCTCGAACTCGAAATAAAGATAGCCCGTAGGCTTAGTCGAGTGAATTATTCGAACTCGAAGTAATGTGGCCCGTAGGTGCAATGGTCGAATAAGTGTTTGCTCGAACTCGAAATAAAGATAGCCTGTAGGCTTAGTCGAGTAAATGATTCGAACTCGAAGTAAT